TCTTCGGTTCTTTTTTGTATGAACTATGTTATACTCCCTCCATCCTCTATAATTGTCTCATTTTCCCATTTTAGATGTCCCCTATGTTGTTTCATACCATATTTGGTAAGATTTGTGTGACTCTAATTCATTCTTACTTTATTATAACTTTATCAACTAATTATCAATCACATAATTCAATTTTTTTTAAATCACACCATCCTCACCGTCCCAATATTAGAGTAAAAGTATAGCTCTAGGTGCCATCGATTAATAAAAATAATTTTGGTAGGAAGTCTTGTATTTGAGATTTTATTTTGCCTTAGGTTACTGTTTACTCAGTTTCGTGATTTATTACCTATCATCCATTAGCTTATGTGATAATCAATTTTTCTATTGGCTCTAATGAATAATTAAATGAAGTTTATTATACATGTAAATAAGTAAATAAAATTAATAGTTATTAACAAAAGTTTATACATTAAAAAGTGAACACAAGCTGTGTGTTAAAACTAATATTTAAATGGGGTTTGTCCTCAAATAATACTAATTAAAAGTATTTGGACAAAAAAAGAGACTTGTTTTAAGTTCCAAAAATAAGATTTAATAATACTTAAGGGACTGTTACACCCTTACTAAGCTCAAACCCACTGGCCTGCTACAGTAACCTGCCACAGTGATCAAATGTGCAGTGACCAATGTTACAGTTACTAATGACATAGTTACAAAATCTGCCAGTGACCAAAATCCATCAATGACCAAAATCCGTCAGTGACCAAAAATCCACCAGTGACAAAAATCCATCAATGACCAAAAACCGCCAGTGACCAAAAGTCTAAAATCCGACAGTGACTAAAAATTAAATATCAGTCCGTTACAACTGCCCATTTACCACCCGGGTAGTGACCACCCGGCTCATCCAATTACAATTACCTGATCCATCCAGTTACAGTTACCCGACCCATTCAGTTACAGTTACACTAACCGCAATTACAGTTACTCGATCCCGTCCCCAGTTACAATAACCCGATTAGTCCAGTTACAGTTACCCGACCCGTCCAGTTACAGTCACCCAACCCTTCTAATTACAGTTACCCGATTCGTCCAATTACAATTACCCGACCCCCAGTTACAGTTACTCGATCCGTCCAGTTATAATTACTCGACCCATGAATTACAGTTACAGAGTTACCCGACCTAACCAATTACAATTACTCAATTCGCCCAATTACAGTTACCCGATTCGTCCAGTTACAATTACCCGACCCCCAGTTACATTTACTCGATCCGTCCAGTTATAGTTACTCGATTCATTCAATTACAGTTACTCGACTCCCCTATTACAGTTACTCGATCCATCTAGTTACAGTTACCTGATCTGTCCATGTTACAGTTACCCGACCAGTTGCATTTACCCGATCTGTTTAGTTATCATCACCTACCCGCCCGATTATAACTACAGTTACATAACCCGTCCAGTTACTGTTACCAACCCGCTTACCAACTCGTCCAATTACCCATAAACCACCGCTGCCCACCGCCGACAACTGCCACCGCCCACCACACCCCATCCCAATGCCTCACTCAGCCCTCTCCCCTGGTCACCCTACAACCATCCCCCCAGCCCCCTGCCTCACCACCGCCCTCTGCCCCTCCGGCACCACCACGCCTGCCCCTCCTACTGCTCTGCCCACATCACCAACCCCCTAGGCCACGGCTGTTGTTGACCGCGAAAACCTAGCCACGAAACCCAACAACCGCATAACCTTGGGTGCAGCCGTCGATAACCTGGGAACCCTCGTTGCCGACGTCTGGAGTCCTCATCGCCATTATTGCTTTCAAATCGCATTCGTCGATTCCACCATCAAATTCTTCACCTGCAGTCCTTGATTCCGCCATCGCCTCCATCGACTTGAGATGGAAAATGGAGAAGGAGAAGAGTAAAAGGCGGCGGCGGCCTGGATGAGGAGGAGGAGGAAGAGGCGGCGACCTGGACGCAGAGGAGGTAATCGTCGATCTGATCTCCACCTAGGTAATTGCGAAGTGAGTTTGTTGCACCTCCGGTGGTGAAGCAACGGAATAGATGGGCGGCCTGAAGAAATTTGGATCTAGCAATTTGGTGCGGGGCTGGAGAAAACGAAAGAAGATGGATGGCCATTTAGGTTAGGGGGTATTTTAGACATTTTATACTATCTTTAGTCTCATATTTGTCCAAAATTAAAACGGGTCGTTCTTCTGTCCTTAGAAAGTGCACTGATCATTCTTCCGCCATTTTTTCTATTTAAATTTATACTACATAAAATATGTTCAAGTTACAAAACAATAGTTTTTTTTTTTCAAAGTATTTTAGTTTAAAAAGAGTTTGTTTTCTTAACACACTTTTTAGATACAATTTTTAATGTTGATCATATTATATGGCTTATAAAGTTATATCGTGTAAATTTTTTCGAGTAAAAACTGTTTTCACAACACAAATTTATGCACTTGGTTTTTCCTGTTGATTATAAGGTACATTTATAGTGTCATCTTTTGGGGATCATATATACACTTGAATATACCAAAATAGAGTGCTGATGTTGAAAGTCTTGATAATTGTTTGAAAGACTTAACTGGTACAGAACTTATTTTCAGGGGAAAGGTGATGGTGTTTGAGTGTGATTTTAGGCAAACTCTCTCGATTGTCAATTCAGGAAAAATAAATGATTTCATATATGTGTCCCTTGTGAAATCTCTGGCAATTTGGCCATCTTTGCAATGTTTGCATCTCATCCAAAATATGCGAGCACACGAGGACCATGATTTCTGTAAGCTATTGACGCGCATAGGAAACGGGGCAGAAAAAAACATTGAACCCGAGAAAATTAAAATATTCCGCAACATCATTGATTCTATCACAAATGTTGTTGCTTCCCTAGATGCCCTTTGTTGTGAGGCTTATCATGATTTGGTTACCTTCGTAATTGACCCCTATGCATTAATGACACGATCCATCCTAACAACACCGAATGAAATTGTTGACACAATAAATTCAACATTAATGGCTAAATTCTCAGGTGAACCACACATGTTTATTGGCCATGATTAGTCCATTGATTCAAAACAAAGTCATTGTGATGAATATTTACACTCCTTATCATCTGCTGGTTTACCCCCACCTAGATTACTCTTTAAAAAGAATTGTCCCGGCCCATTATGCCTTTACGAAATCCAAATCCTTCTGAAGGCCTTCACAATAGGACAAACATGTGATTCATCTGGAGATCATATCATCAATTGTTTTATCCCAGTTGGTGATCATAACGACAAACATGTGTTTATACCTATGATTCCTCATTTTCTCTTATACCCTCTAAAGGCGAGAATTGTCATGTTTCTTTCAAGCGAACACAGTTTCTTGTAATAGTTTGTTTCGTAATAACAATAAACAAAACCCGAAGGCAGACACTTGACCTTGTCAAATTATATCTAAGGGAACATGTTTCCAGCCATGACCAATTATATAGTCACGTGCAAGGATTGCCGCTTCCATAAAGATGACATATAATGCTTACAAAATGTGACTAGTGACTAAAATAAAGATGACGACTAATTTTACATATTTATTACTAAAATAAAAATTATTTACAAAATGTGACTAGTGACTTAGTAATAACCTTATGTTAATTTTTTTTAACTTAATGTGACCATGACACTATAATGTAATAACTATTTGTCATAGTTGTGTAAAAATAAGTTTGATTTAATACTCCCTCCATCCCTAAATTATCTTTCAGGGTACATTTGGCACATGAATTAAGATAGTGAGTATTGTGTGCTTGAGAGTATTGCATAAGAGAGCGAAACGTGTAAGAATATGTAACAATTATTGTGAGCTACAAATTCTATGCAAAAAGGGAAAGTTGATTATTTAGGGGGTGTTTGGAACTGATTCTGCTTCTGCTTCTTTTTTAAAGCAGAAGCAGAATCAGAATCAGTTTTCAGAAGCTGGTACCCCCCAGCTTCTAAAAAAACTGATTCTGGGAGTAAATTAGAGCATCAGAAGTGCTTCTGGAATTTCACCCAAACACTCCAGCTTCTTCTTCTGCTCTCTGAAGGAGCAGAATCAGTTTTGAGAATCAGATCCAAACACCCCATTAGGACGGACGAAAAAGATATGTTGGAAGATAATGTAGAAGTGAGACGAATTATTATACTCTAATAGTCCATAGACAATTAAGGGAGTGTTTGCAAAAAATTGAAAGAGTGCTTTTCAGGTTCTGGTTTAAAAGAGTTGAAATGAGTGTTTAAATAATAGTTTTTACTTAAATTAAGCCCTTAAAAGCTAAACGTTGAACGCAGGTGAAAAGATGTTTTAAACTGTTTCTCACTTTATCTATCACACACAAAAAAACGCTTATTTTACTGAACACTATCAACTTTTATTTTTTTAGAATCTTTTTTTTCAAACACTCCTTAAATAGAGAACAATGAGAGTGGAATTTCCCTTGGTGCTTAGTCCCCCGTTTCTTAAAACTTTGTCAAACTTTCATCTTTTGATTGTCCCACTAAATTTGCCACTTTTCCTTTAAAATAAAGAATTTGTATTTCCAATTAATTCTCTCTCTTTTACGTCAACTTCGACCACACCATTTTTACTTTATTAATTCTCAATTCTTTCATTTACTTTGAACTTGGAAAGGTATTAAGGCTCTGTTTGCAACTGCTTTTAAAAAAGCACTTCTTAGCTTTTGGCTTTAAAAAAGCACTTATTTTCCCAAACACTACAACTTTTATTTTTCTCGGCTTCCGCGTCAAAAGTGCTTTTACTTTTTCTATTACACAAAAAGCACTTATTTTACCAAACACTACCCACTTTTACTTTTCAAAATCACTTTTTTCTCAAACACTATCAACTTTTATTTAATCACTTCTCCCTATTTCATTAAAAAAAGCACTTTTTTTAAAAGCAGAAGCTGTTGCAAACAGACCCTAAGGTAGGGATAAGTTGGTGCCCCGGCTGCACAAAGCGACTGCCCTTTCCTAATTAGTTACTGGTAAGATAAAAAGCTTCGCGTCCTTGTGCAAGCAATCTGGCTCATGTGAATTTGTTTTCATTAGTTCAATAAAAGACAGACTCAAAATTAACACCGTAGTAGTTTCTTTTGTTCTTCAAGAACAGAGAGCTAATAGGTCGTTGTTTGATGGCAGTAGCCGCATTTTGCAGCTCCCTCACTTCCACTAATCACTGTCCTTTTCATAACCGGAGCCGTATCAGCTCTCCCAGGCAAGTGAATCAATACCCCTATGTTTTGTACAGGCTTTGTTTTTTAGCAAGCAACTACATTCATTATATACGAGGTAATAAGAATAAACTAATTTACTTGTATATGAGTAAAACACACAATGTTTCTCTATATGAATTTACTCTCATATTCTTTATTTGAAATCAATAATAATATGTACTTTTGAAAAGTGTGTATGCTGGTCAGGCTCCTATAAATTTTCTGTATAACTTTTCAGTCACCCAAGGGTTGAATTGGGTTGGGTTTTGTTTATGGTCAGGGTTCTATAAGTTTTTGTCAATGAAGAGTGTTACTTGTGTTATTGTTAGGGTTGTGTTATTGTTTATAGTTTGGGCCATTCCAGCATCCACCATGATAGAGGTTGGTTTTCATTTTTGAAACTTGCACTTGACATTTATCATATTCATCCTAGAAGACGTGGAGTTGTGTTTAAGTTTAAAATTACGGACTCAGTTTCAAAGGTTGATACTGAATACTGATTCATGGAAAAAGGGAAAATGAAAGATAATAGTGTTATTAGTGGGGTCACTTTAAATCATGAACCAAACAATGGTTGTGGAAGGAAATATGAGTTCGTTCATTAGTGATGTGTTAAGGTAGTGTCCACTATGAACTGTGAAGTGTGAACTTGAAATACTTGTTGTGGATGCTCTTAGTGGTGTTGGGGTGACTGATGAGTACTTGTTTTTTTTGGATAAAGGGTAATTATATATCATCCAAAAGAGTTTATGTACAAGTAAAGCAAAAAAATAGGGGGGTGACTGATGAGTACTGGGATAGAAGAGTGGTTACTGAAGAAAGATTGGGCGGGTTTTGGATGCATGCAGATGATAACTAATGAAGTGTAGGTGGGGGAGAAAGTCACAGGGTGGTGTTGGGATTTTTCTGGTTGGCTGGATAAGTTAGCTCAAGGTGGCGACGGCTGGGATTGGGTGATGGTGCTTATTATTTTTGAATTAAGAGTAAATGTAATATTAAAAGAATAAAAGTTATTTTAGATTCAACAACAATTGTTGTAATTAGTTTTTTTTTAAAAAATAATTCAAGAGAAGTGTTTGTCTTTCATTTTTTCTAAAATAATGTTATTGGAAAGAGGCCATGAATAAATATATAAAAGTTCTAACATAGTACTCTTTATCGTTTCCAATATGCCAGATCTAACTCAGAAGGAGATACAATCATTAAAAGAAAAGATGAAACAAAAGATACACACCATCAATCTCATGTAGATATTAAGACAGGCAAAGATCAGATGGAACTGATTTCATGTAGAAACTATGTTACAGTACATTTGGCTTAATGGAATCCAATTAATTAGCTAGTTCATTTGAATCCAATTGAGTTTCAGTTTTTTTGAACACTTTTTGCTCTCTTTGCTAATCCCATTTGAGACTCTTGTATTGCTGCGTTGCAGTGGTAACTTGATTTTTTACTTACTTTGCCTTAGTACCATGCCTGATTGCCTGAACCTGCACAACAAACTACCTTTGCTTGCTTTATTTTATGAACGAAATATATTTATTGCAGGACCATTTTGGTGCCGCCTACAGCTGAATCACTTGGCTCTCTCAAGAAATCCACAAACAACAGATATAACATCTTGCATACAGCTTTACCGTGTCAAGAATCAAGGCGGCCACAACAACATCGAAGACATTTGTTACTTTGTTGCAAAGAAGCGGAGCAACAGTCAGACACTGCTATCATTGTGGAGGCAAATGTTAGTAGAGCAACTTTGATATGGAGGGCAGCCAAACTTCCAATATACTCTGTTGCGCTCATTCCTCTAACTGTAAGTCTGTTATTATTATATAGTCTACCTTCATGATTGCACATTCATTCACTTTACGCACTCTTGTTTGTGCAGGTGGGAAGTGCAGCTGCTTATTTGCAAGCTGAACTCTTTTCTGCCACCCGTTATTTTTCGCTCTTAGGTTCATCCATTCTTATCATAGCGTGGCTAAACTTAAGGTAGCTTCTGATCTCACAACTTCTTGTTGGTTATAATTGATAAGCGCAAAACTGCCTCTGGCTGGTCGCTTGACACAAAACCAACAGCCAGTATCTCCCAATACAGTTACAACTGCATCTCTTCACATTTATCCTACCCTTATAGAGTTGTTAATTGCCGTCTTTTTCCCCATGGGCCTTTTCTTAATCCAGTGACTTTGTAATATGGCAGCAATGACGTTTATGATTTTGACACTGGAGCAGACAAGAATAAGAGAGAGTCTGTTGTTAATATAGTTGGCAGGTAATAATTATAATCTGTTCTGCTTTATACTTGAATCACATTCTAATAGAATTCAGGATTGGGTTGAAATCGCTCATCTGAGAAGTAAGTTGCTTCGGCAAACCACACTAAATGAGGTTTTTTTTATTTCCCCGTTTCTACAAAAGGAAAGAGTTGAAAGAACAGGACAGTCACCTGGTAATTAAGGAAACGTAAAAACAAGACTATTTGGACTATGAAGCAGAAAATTATTCTATCATCATCATCATCATCATTACCCCAGTGCCGCAAAGGCTCCCACCTGCGGTGAGGTAAGGGAGGTCGGATGTACGCAGCCTTACCCCTGTACTGAAGTACAGATAGGCTGTTTCTGAATGACCTATAGTGGAAATCGTGTCAAAATAATATAGAGTATACACTGACTGCTACTTCATAACAAAGAAGCGCATAGAGTTTAGTATTCCATCATATTCTCAAGCCAAAAATAGTGAGTTTTTGGCTCCATTGCAAATGATGGAACACAGAACATTATTCTGCGATGGATTAAAAAGAAAAGCGAATTATACAAAATAAGACATGGTGAGTATGATGTTTATTTAAAAAAAAAAAATCAGAGAACAAAATGCTTAAACAAATGTGCAATGTTTTTTATTACTCCGTACTATATTGCTTTGCCTTCCACTTCTCCATCCATAATGTTGAAGTCATTTAAATCTTTTATGCTTCTATTTGGTACAGAATATTAACTAACTAATTAAACCAATGATCACTGATATAATTTTATCATGATTTACCAGCCGCACAGGAACACTAGTTGCTGCTCATGTATCACTTTCTCTTGGCTTCTGTGGCCTTGCATGGGCTGCTCTACAGTCTGCAAACATGCGTGCTATACTACTAATGGCATCCGCAATTACCTGTGGTTACATATACCAGGAAAGTGCATAATTTTATTTGAGGGCAGAAATTAAAAAATTCAATTTATGCGGACAAGTTTATTATTATTATTATTATTATTTTATTTTGCAGTGCCCTCCATTTCGGCTGAGCTACCAGGGATTGGGTGAGCCTTTGTGCTTTGCAGCATTTGGTCCATTCGCTACTACTGCTTTTTACTTGCTTCAGAGCAAAACTAGGTTTGCACATATTTCTTATTTATGTACCCTTTATAGTTACAGTACTACAAAGAAGCTCATGATGATTTCTTAATCGCCTTGATGCTTGCTAGTAGTGAACTACTACCCATCACTGGCACTATCCTTTCGGCATCAGTTCTTGTAGGTCTGACAACGTCCCTGATCTTATTCTGTAGTCACTTTCATCAGGTTAACATCCCTCTCCACCTTTTGTACCGTTACGCCCACGGGTAAACTAACACTTGATTTACAATTTAGATTGACGGGGACAGAAGTGTTGGAAAGTATTCTCCTTTGGTGAGTTACTGAAGGCCCAGTAGAAGAAGAACCAGGTGGCAACTGAAGCGGCTAACCATTTATCTTCTTTTATTACTGCAGGTAAGACTTGGTACAGAAGCAAGTGAGGAGGTTGTTAAAGTGTCTGTTATCACGCTCTATGCTCTACTGTTTGTTCTTGGATTAACCAAATTTCTTCCTTCTGCATGCATTGTAAGTTAGTTTGCCATCTATTGTTTTATACAGAGTATTTTCTATAGTCTGCAGGTTTGACTTTATCATGCTTTAGATATGATATCTGAAGAAACGTACTAAGGCATAATTGTTTATTAGTATCTCAACTCTGAGTTTACCAGTCTGAACTCATGTTATAGTAAACAGTATGGTGCTTTTTTTTTGTTTAAGGGTAAAATAAATCCAAAACGTGATATGCATTTATAGAGCCTCTTTGGTCAGTGTTAGTTGGTAGAAATGACCGAGTATGGTGAATTTATGAAATGAATAGTGGTTGGCAATAACTATTTTTGGCATACAAGTAAGCCAGAAGTATTTATTCAATTGTTCAGCGGATAAGCAAAACAAGCAGACTCAGATGAATTATGGCTATGAAACAGAAACATAATCTGTTTGTGCCCAATTAGATTATGATTTAGTACCGTATCTGTTAAACATCTTGGCTAACATATTCATCAAGCGCTGATAGTTTTTATTTTGAAGGTTCTCTGTGGCCTAACAATTCCTATGGGAAGAATGGTGATTAGCTACGTGGAAAAGAACCACGAGGTAAGCCTGGAAAAAACTGCATGCTTATCTGCATAAAGATTAAAGAAGAAACATAAATCTTTGTTGTTTTCCTGAAATTACGATTGTTGACTAGCTGTGTAATGCTTCTAAAATAGGACAAAACGAAGATATTTATGGCTAAGTATTACTGCGTGAGACTTCATACTTTGTTTGGAGTTGCTCTGGCTGCTGGATTGGCGGTGGCTAGACTCTTTGCTCGGAATTACAACTTGAAGGCTACTCTTCTCACCTGAACCTTCTTTGCACGCTGGTAGGAATGGAACAGGACAGGTTTTGGTCGAACTGTAACTTGTGCAAGTTCTTGCTTTACACACATGTGGTTTTGGTTCTAGATCCCATATTGGACTGTAATAAGTAGAAAATTTGTACGTAATTTTTAAAGGTAAATCATCATTCGTACTCAGGTCTTCTGACTTCGCCCCATGTACAAACTAACTAGAATTACGTAGTGTACTCCCGGTTTTTTATTTTGGGCTGGAATTTGAATTTCACTTTGGACTGTAAAAAAGAAAAGAATCAAGTTCCAACCCTGCATGGGCTTGAAATGTAACACTACCTCAGTACAAAATGAAGTTCTTGTAGAAGAATCCAGATTCTAGGATTTCTGCTACAATTATTTATTGTTTTCAGTTAAAAAACTTTGTAGTTATGATTGTACGGCTTCCATTCTACAATAATTGTCTCATTTTTCCTTTTCCGTATATTCTACTAAATTTGCTTCATATTATATTCGATAATATTTGGGTGGATCTGATTCATTCTTACTTTATTCTCACTTGATTAATTCATTATTATCCACATAACTGTACATTTCTTAAAAATCGCACTATTCTCTTCTCTCGGTCTTAGGGGACAAATGTAGTATTTAGTAGCTTATTACCTTAAAAACTCTTTAGTCTTTACATCTATGACAAAGTAAGACAGTAAGTATGTAAAAATGTATAGGATCTCAAACTTTGAAGGGTGTGTATGTAAAATGAAGTTAACATTCTTAAATCTTAACATTGAAGATACAAATCATCGTTCTACCTTTCAAAAAAAAATTCATCGTTCTATATGTGTTCTTTATCAAATAACAAATTATCACCATTTGGAGCTCTTATATTTTTGAGTCACACCATCATCATTATTGTTCTTCATTTTGTAATTATGCGGCACAATAGGAAACATATAGTATGATCCTAATTTTGAATTAGAATGATGATCGTTTGTGGTAGGCCTGGACTCGGGCCGGGCGGCCCGACCCGGAACCGGCCCGGCCCGGCCACTGTAGCAACCGGCCCGGTGGCCCGGTCCACTGGCGGTTCGGGTCGAACCGGCCCGGTGGTTCCCGGTTCCGGGCCCGGGCCTTCCATATGGTGAACCGGCCCGGCCGGTTCGGGCCCGGTCCGGGCCGGAAATAATTTTTTTTTTTTTTTTTTTTTTGAAATTTTTTTATGTTTTGGGTTAGATTAGGTATTTTGGTCCATTTGAGGTGGTTTGGGGTGGTTTGGGGTTGAGAAAGAGGGGTAGGGGATTAAATAAAGAAGCCAAAATAATAATAATAATAATAATAATAGGGCGGGTGGCCCGGCCCGGAACCGGCCCGGTCTGGCCCGGAACCGGCCACCCCCGGTTCGGGCTCGGGCCTCAATATTCTGAACCGAGGCCCGGCCGGGCCCAGGCCTGAGGCCCGAACCGGCCCGGTTCAGTCCACCCCTAGAAACAATGCAAAAAATTGTTTAATTCTAATCCATAATACGTAGTATATTTTTCTTTAAAAAACTGAATATTATTGTATAGAATTGTCGTAATGGATGAAATCTAGAGCTAAAATACATAGATGTATATCTTTGAGACTGATATAGGATAACTTATTTCCAAAAAATTGTCTACACAAAACACACGGGGCTAGATAAAATAGATTAGTCTCATACCTGATCCATCTTCATCCATTCAGAAATGCCCCCATTTAAAACAAAAGTTCTAGGCTGTGTTGTAAGAACCGACCCGGACCGCCCGGTTCGGCCCGGAAACCGCCCACCCGCCCATCACACCGGTTCGGTTGACCATCAAACCGTCCCAAACCCGGATTTGAGCAAAACTTTAAGAAAGTAGACAGTGGGATTCGAACCCACGCCTGCTAGTACACATCGAAGGTGACTGACCATCGTGCAACGCTGTTTAGATAGTAGAGATCGTTGCTTTTTTGTTTTTATACTGTGTTAACCTGAAATGTATAACTAATTACATATTTAATCTATAATAATAATAATAATAATAATAATAATAATAATAATAGTAATAAAAATAGTTACATATCAATGTTATTATTATACTTCCCAATCACGTACTTAGTATATGATCTTCCAATTTTTGTTATTATTTTGTAATTAGCATTATGTTCATGTATTATTTTGTAATTATAAAGATATATATTATCTTCATGTATTATTTTGTAATTAGCATTATCTTCACCATTACACAATTAAAATCAATGGCTAGGGCTAGTTTGTATTTTGTAAATTAGGATTAATTTATATGTGATCCTAAATATATATATATATATATATATATATATATATATATATATATATATATTGGTGTTGACCGGGTTTACCGGTTGTTGACCGGGTTGACCCGCCGGGTCCGGGTTGACCCATGACCCGACCATTCGTCCGGGTCGCTCTCCGGTCCGGTTTTTACAACATAGGTTCTAGGTCCTCAACAACTCACTCTTCTTTTTTTGGTTGTACTCTCTTTTTTACATAGTATTTGTTCTGTTAAATGTCAACATGTTTGAGTGCGATGAGTTTCAAACCTGTGACCTTCTCTTTGGGAGTGTTATAGTGATGTCATTAAATCACAAGGTGATTGACAAGAGCTCAGTCTTCTTTAATAAAATCCAATCATGAAACTGTGGAAACCTTTGTTTTACAAAACATAGAAAACTTTGTTAGCTAAATGAAGCCATTAAAAATAGATGTAATCATTCTTTCACTTTTCTAAGGAAAACTTGATAACAATAATCATAACAATTGTCAGCCCGCTCATAATAATCCCAATTATTGATTATTTCAGAATAATTTCAACTTTAAGAACCTTCCACCAATAATAGTCCCATATAAGCGGCTACTTGTTTAGACAATTTAAAAAAAGAATCTGAGTGTAATAAATATGATCTGTCGACTTTTATTAGATCCTAAAAATTAAGTGAAAATTTCCTAAAGTAAATAAAATTGTAAGAATGTATTATAGATATTAATTTTTAATATAATTAACTTTTTAGGAAATTTATGGAATTCAAGAGTATCAAATTTATAAATACAAAACATGGAAAAACTTATATAAAACTGAAAATAACAACTTTATAATTTGTATAATATTATAAAAACTCAAAAAATATAAAATATATAAGTAAAGAGGGAGGCCAGCAAAAACTTTATAGGAAATATGAAAGTGTAAATTGAGTACAAATTCAAAGTTAAGAAATGGAAATCTACATTTTTAAAATTAAGAAAGCAATAAAATATAAGATAATAATTTTATTAAAATATTTAAAAATTAAGAGCTAATCATCATAGTTAAAATATAGAATCATTTTAAATTAGTTTTTAAGGAAGATATTTATTTTGTTTTGCTAAACAATACTACGTAGTTTAAAATTAGTTTAAAATCAATACAAAATCACAAATTTGTAAAGGAACCAAAAATTATATAGCTGTCCAAAAAAGAAATAGTATTTACTCTAAGAATAAACATGTAATATTTTTTATGTTTTACAACGTGACACATTTTTAGAATTAATTAAATTTACATATTATAAAATTCTGTTTTTCATTTTTTTTTATATTATCTACCTTTGGAAAAAAACTGATTTGGTAATTAAGATTTAGTTACATTATACGTAGTAATATTTATGATATTTTCTTGATTGGAATATTTAATTATACTCCCTCCGTCATACAATTAAAGTCCCAGTTTGACTTTATGGTCTCTTAGGTGGACGTTTGATCGTAATTATCTATAAATATATACCTATATAATATATAATGAATTAATATTGGAATAATACATATTACAATGAAGCACGTAAAGTTAATTTTGTGTGATAATTTTTTTTGATGGTGTGTGATAAAAAAATATGATATTGTTAATTTTGAGTAATTTACGGTTACAGTTTTACAAGTTTAACTCAGAAGTCAATCTGGGACTTTAATTGAAGGACGAAGATATGTAGTATATTCTACATGTAAATACACCCGTAAGTTATTTTAATATTAGGTATAATTTAGCAAAAGAAAAAGAACACTACTGGTTTTCATTGACCAAATATGAAAAACCTTTGGTGGGTATCCATAGTATCCGATAAAATCGTAAGTTCTACTAGTTGAGTATCAATACATTTTCATTGAGCATTAAACTTCACATATTGAGTATTAAGAACCTGCAATTGAGTATCGTGACCTATGAATATAAAAAAATTCAAAAGGTCATTTGCAATCGTTAATGTGCTCAAATCCTCATTTGTCTATGCTAAAATTTTCTGATTTTTATTTTTATAGGGTAACAGGCTAAAAATCTTGGACTGCAAGTTTGGTGGAGGTAGAAATAGTAGCAACAGTGGGATTACTCTTGATGGTAAGGAGATACCAGCGTGTGATATGTGTCGTTACTTGGGCTCCATAATTCAGAAGGATGGTGAATTAGATGGAGATGTATCCCATAGAATCAGAACTGGGGGGATGAAATGGAAGAGTGCGTCAGGATTTCTATGCGATGGAGGTATGCCGAATAGACTGAAAGGTAAATTTTATCGAAAAGCAATTAGGCCTACATTAATGTATGGCGTAGAGCGTTGGACGGTGAAACAATGTCACATTCAAAAGATGAGTGTGACAGAGATGCGTATGTTGCGTTGGATGTGTGGACATACCAGAAAAGATCGTTTGAGGAATGAGATAATCAGACAAAAGGTAGAAGTAGCACTTATAGAAGATAAGATGCAAGAGTCTCGTATGCGGTGGTTTGGACATGTGCATAGAAGACCGAGTGATGCACCTCTTAGACGACTTGAGTGGTGGGGAGAAGAGACATAGGGGAGAGGGATGGGAAGACCCAAACCGACTTGGATTAGAGGAATCAGGACTGATATGTGTCTTCTTGGGTTGGATGAGAGTATGACTTTGGAGAGGGCAAAGTGGAGGGCGCACATTCGCGTGGACGGTTGATCTATTTTCTTTTGTTCCTCTCTCGTTTTCTTTTATCATTTATCTTCTTTTTCTTTTTATATTCTTATGTTATTTTTATCTTCTAGCTTTTTATGCTCTTTTATATTTCAATCTTTTATCTTTCATATTTTCTTATGTTATTGTTATCTCATATTTATTTATCTTTATCCTATTCGTTTTATCCTTTTTTTTTCTTTTTCTGTGTCTTCTTTTTTTGGCATCGATATCATGGATCGATTCATGTTAGCCGACCCAAAAATCTTTAGGGATTAAGGCTTGAATGTTGTCGTCGTCGTCGTTGTTGAATACGCTAAATTTATTCATCTATTTTTTGAACTAATACTATTTTATACTTTTGTTCCACTATTTTTTAAAGTTTTATGGATTTAATAATATTAATCAATTGTTTTTTAATAACCTGCTGTAGCATGTGAAATGATTGGATTGACTTTGTTTTTG